AGTCAAGAAAAACACTCTTCTGGAGTGCCTGAAGGCTTTGTAGTGAACGTCGCATGCTTGCATTTATCAAGAAGTCTCAGGGGTTGACTCAACTATTGTTGCTTGTTGGGCTACAATTGTGTATTTAGACTTCTCTTTTTCCCATATTAGCACTGAAAACTACACTCCCAGGGAGGAGCATGAATTGCAGATCTGGCAGATGATAGTAGCTATATGTGTCACATGAGAGGACTGTGGAACTTGTGAACACTTTTTTTCGTACAAATTTCTGAGTATTTTATTGCCCTTCTTGATGTCTTCAGGGAGACAGCAAATTTAGGTTGTTCGAGTAATTCTGCAAAAGACAGGATTTGAATGAAGCCAGTCAGATTGGCCAGCATTATTTCAGAAAATATGGCTTTCACACACCTTACACTATGAAGGTAATGAGCATCTATTTTTAGAAAAGTATTTATACAACAGAGATTATTTGGTTCAATCAGCTATTGGGTTGTCAAGTGGAGTAGCAGCTTAAAGATCACACCTGGTGGTTAAGCCTTGCATTTCACTGATATTTTTTTCAGGATCATTTTTAGCAGGATTTACTGGGAGTTATGCTTTATGACAATTATATTAAAGGGACTGTTTCGTTTTGCTGCATAATGTAGGCTACTGTCTAAATATACACTAGTTTCTTCAGCAAGAGTTTGTGAGGAAATACAAACAAGTTCTTTCTGGGACTCCTGTTACTGTAGAACTGTGTTCTCTCTGTGGTATTTGTTGTGGGTTTTTTTACCTGTGTATTGGATATTAAAAAGAAGCTTTTCTGTAATTGATAGGGTTTTTTTAATTTAATTAACAAGTCAGATTGGCCATCATTATTTCAGAAAATGTGGCGTTCACACACCTTACACTATTAAGGTAGTGAGCATCTCTTTTTAGAAAAGTATTTATACAACAGGGATGTTTGCTTTCAAGTAGACTATAGAGATAGTTTAATGGAAATTAATATGAAGTTGCAGTTGGCTTGAGGATAAGCAAACTGTTGCAGAGGGAAAATTAAATGGTTCATATTGTAAAAGCTATTTCTTGATCTTCTTTTTAGTAGATGCTTGTCAGATATATTGCTGAAAAGGTATAACATTACAGAGTTCTGTATATAATTTTGTGTAGCTCTAGCAAGACTGATGGATTTTTCTAATACTCATTTTCAGTAAGTCAGATAGTAGACAACTCAGATTCTGCAAAATACTTTGACATGCACAGTAAGTCCCAATGAATTCAGTAAGATCTAAGGGCACATTTGCATGCTTTGTTGTATCCGGGCTCAGGAAAGTAAAAAGGATAAAAAGTCTTGTGAGGAGAGAACAAATTCTGAATGTCTTGCTCAGAAGGAAATCCCATTTGGAAAAAGTAAACTTTATAAATTTAATTATATGAATTAAAGAATGTTCTAGGAAAAAAAAAAACTTTAATTTTGTATGTGGAAAGTAACTCCTTTATCTGAATTTCATGGAGCTTTTAAGAATAATAACAAATTATTCAAATTGTTCAGTGACAGAGATCCAGGCATAAGTCATTCATTAAGAAACTTATTTAGGAATGTTGTTGACATGAATAATACCTTGGTTGAATTCATCTGAACCTTCCAAATACTATGTAAAAATACATGTGTAAAAATGTGTAATACATTCTGTGTAAAAATTAGATATGAATACAGCTTCAGGATGCAGTTTGCTGACAACACCGATCCTTGCTTTCCAGAAATGTGTGCTTTATTGGCCAGAAAAAAGAGGAATCTATGGGAAGGTTGAAGTCCTTGTTAACAGTGTGCAAGAATGCGAGAACTATACTGTCCGTCAGCTCACAATAAAGGTAACAATCTGCATCTGAGAAGCGTTGTTCCTAATGCTTCATTTTTTGAATATTAAATGAAGTTAAAGTGTTGGGTTTTTTTTAAAGGGCATACATTTTTAGAGGAATAACTGAGCTGTGAAGCTCACAGCTGCAAGGTATGATTGAGACCAAAGTGCTGGAACACTTATCATATTGCTGCTTTGTATCACTCTGGCAATAAAAGAGGCCTCAAAGAGTGCAAGTTTCACTCTCTTGAATTACATTGGCTTTGAGGGCTTTTTAGCATTGCCAAGGCAATGTAAAGGGATTTTAGTTAATGAAAGAACTAGCATAGCATCATTATGAAAAAGATATGCTGCTCATGTTGCGTGCTGAGTGCATCTACAGGCCATTTGAAAAGCTAAAAATATATGGAGTGTATAAGGAAAGCTTCATGATTTCATGGTTCTGACTAAACATTAACTGAGCAAAGGCAGATGCTCCTCTTCTAAGTTACTCCCCATCTTACACTTGCATGCTATTGGATTGCATCATCTGCTGCACCTGACAGAGCATTACAATAAATACTGAATTGGGAAATTTTGTTTGGTTTTTCAGCCCAGGCAGTGAGAAGTGAGCAGAAGTCATATAATCTAGGACAAATTAGCCCGTATTTAGCCTCTTTGCTTGTTGAAGTAAGTGGTAGCATCCTCAAATGGAGAGAATAACTGGACAATCTGGGATGTTTGATTAATCTAGAAGGGCAGTTCTTTTGCACCTTTAAAGTAAATACTCTTTTAATTTTAGTATCAGATCCTTATGATAATGTCTTTAAGAGGCAGCAGAAATATATAATTTAGAGATTCAGAACCCTAGATCAAGCTAATCTCTCTAGATCTTACTGCTGGTCTAACACAGACCTCTGGCAATTCCCAACTGACAACACAGTAGTCAGTAATCATATTGACAAGTCGATAGTCAGATGGACAGAGCAGAACCTACATAGCTGGAAAAGCAGCTAAATTTTCACATGCACAAACCCTTCTTACAGCTGCATCCCTAGAAGCACGCCTGTTCCCTACAATTGCGTCCTCTGAGTCTAATTAAAAAAAATAAATTGTTAAATCTCTCTTAACTTTCTTACTGTCTTTTTACCATAACGTTTAAAGAAATACAAAGAATTTTTCACCACAAGTGTGCCTGTAAAATCTTCATGTTATTTTCAGCAAGGGAGTCAGTCCCGGAGTGTGAAGCACTATTGGTACACATCCTGGCCAGACCATAAAACACCTGACAGCGCTCAGCCCCTGCTGCAGCTCATGCTGGATGTAGAAGAGGACAGGGTGGAATCACCTGGCAGAGGGCCTGTCGTGGTGCACTGCAGGTAATTTGCAATCCTTCTCTTAAATGACCGGCCAAAGCAAGGCGACAGCAAATCACATCAAACAGCCCTCCTCCTTAAACAAAGAACACATTTGGAGAAGAGTAAAATTTCCCAGATCCTTTTCATACTAATTGATTTGTTCTGTTCATATCTGAGGATTTGAGTTTTGGAGATAATTCCCTTGTTGCTAGCAAATAATTTCTGAACCATTCCCTATTCCTACTAATGAACTCTGTTTTTGAAGGACCAGCTAGAAAAATTATTTTTCTTCTGTTACTTATTTGTGATTTGCTTTCTTTTTAGTCTTGCTGCATAATTACATACCTAAGTCACATGCAAAGCCCTGTGACTGGTTGGCTAGAATGTTGTAAAGCAAGTCAATTATGAACAGCAGACATCAGGTACAAATTTGGAGACCAAAACACATCAGTACTAAAATTTGTGAATGTTTTCACAAAGGCAGTTGGTTTGATATTCAAGAACAAAGTTATTCAGTACTCAAGAGCTGAGTGTTACTCACACAAATTGTAATGAACCAGAGAATGTCCTCACCATTCTAATTAAATTCCATTTTATTGCCTTATATTAATTTATTGCCCCATGTTGTAATTTAAGTAGTAGGAAGTATTACTGGATTTATTTTATTGGTGGAAAGATGTAGGTGAAGCAAAACACAAAAATTTAAAATCATTGTTTCCTTACTTGCTTTTTCTCATAACTGTGATGATACATCTCTTACAGTTGGGATAGTACTTTTTTTTTC